AAACGAAGAAACCCTTGCCTATAATGATGTGCCGATAATGAAAGAGCAAGTTAATGTTGCTGTTGCTATTGCTGTGTGAAATCATTTTGTAGATGCGCGTGATGCGATAATATTTCTACACCCTTTTTGCTTTTCTTCTCCGCTTTATTTTTTTTTTTTATATATATATTTTTTTATTTCTACCTAGCCAAGAAGCTGTTTTGTATCTGCGAGTAACTCGTACTTTTGCTGCAATGACATTTAATTGTTGCAACACCAGCACCTGCAAAAAAAAAAAAAATCTGAAAAAATATAGAAACGTTTCACACGCTCGGAAAATCAAATGGAAAAGAAAATAAAATAATTTGGAGTAGAGCAAAAACTGTGTGTTTTGTACTGTAGCAGCAGCTGCTCGGTAAGAACAAAATCAATTTGCTGGCACAATAGGAAAATATATAGAGTAGATCAGCATGATAGAGATCCGGAACGACAGCTGTTGCTCCTCTATTGTTTTGTGTCGAATAGACTTGTGTAGTCAGCACGAAATGTATCTCATAATTTGTAGGGGTTACCGCTTTTACCTGCTTAAAACTGCTCAATTGTTCTCGAAGGATGCACGGTTTGGAAACCGGTTTGGTTCCCAGATTTATACGTACAAATTTTACACCTGCAGAGATACAGATACACGCAGTCAGAGATTAAGGTATGAATATGTTCGAACAGCAATTACCACAGTATAGTGGCTTAAATACCAACCATCTATTATGCAGGGCCACCCAAAAAGGAGATTAAAATTTCAATGCTTTCAATTTATTATTACAAAATAATTTAGATGAAAATCATTTCGGAAATTTCTCGATTGCCATCTGATTTTTGCGTGTTGCCCTTATTAAACATTCATCGTTCATTCATTGGACAGGGCAATCGGGCACTGAAACAACAATGAATACAAATTAAAGACCATCAAAAGCATTATGATGAGTGCACAATATTGGCAGGTAGAAGCAGTCGATTGTCAAAAGAACGGAAAGCGGCTTAATATTGATATGACAGGCTGAAAATGAAAACGCAAAAGTTAAATACAAAGTAAACGAACGGAAAAATAAATCTATGCATTAAATCTTTAAATTATGTTTGCTTGTAATTAAGTCATTATTGCATTTCTTTGAATATTTCAAATACCGTTAATCGGCAAAGTCCATTTTCAGAAGTTTTGACAGTGCACAAAAATGTCAAAAAAAAATCGGCCCAAAAATAAATTTTCCAATTTTGATGTAGGGATTTATATAATCAAATCACGTGCATTTTAAGGTATACCACTTCAAAAACGGAGTTCTTAAACCAAAGATATGCTTAGATTCTAGTGCGCATTGCTTATTTTATAGGCTAATTTGCTGCGGCAACTTAGTCATTGCACTGCACTTGACTGACTCATTCTTGCTGCTTCATCCGCTTTTGCCCCTTTGTTTCGTTAGCCATTTCCTGTCACGTCCCTGCCACATGAGACAACAACAAAAATGAGGCAAGAGCAACAGCAGCTTCAAGCGGTCAAAGAATTTGCGAGGAAACGAGAGGGAACGAAAGTATGCCAATTTCCAGGGTCAGGGCCTAAAGAAGAAGAAGAAGAGGTAGAAGTAGAAACCATTCAATAGTCTGGGTTTTCATTCAATCCTATTTTCCCTGCAGTTGTAAAAAGATAAGGGAATCAGGAAGCTAAGCGCTAATCAATCTTTTATACCCTTTTATTCCCGAATACTTTTCTATTATAAATAAAAATAGTTTTACTTAGTTAAATCCGTTACTGGATTTCTCCCTGCTCAACTATCATTTTCACTGACTAATGCAATTATTGGCAGAGAGCGCTGGAAATGAAGTGGAGTGGTAATGAGGTGGGGATTTTCCGGAGAAAGCCTGGGTTATTTGCCAAGGGATTATCGCAAATGGGTTGCCAACCCGTTAAAAAGTCAGCTTTCGAAGGGCCTTTTTCAACGACCGTCTTCTTCGTCATCCTGCAGATACTCCTCTTAATTTTCCCCCAATCTCCTGCCCTTTATCCTTGACATCTTTTTGTCTCATTAACATTTGCGCCGCACAATCAACGACAGTCGAGACTGGACAGCGTTTTTTATGCCGTTGTTGTGTCTGTTTTTTGTCGCCGTTGTTGCATCTTCTTCATGACACTCGGCGTCCACTCCCTTTCTCCTCACTTTCTCCCTGGCAATTTTTCAACGCTTCGGTTGGATAATGGCCAAAGTGCACAGTGGTACAAAAAATTTCTGTCGATGGATTAATCGCTTAATAAAACTTTCCATGTTTTAGTGAGGGTTAGGTTTTAGTTTTGCTCTTATATAAATTGATATAACTTTAACATAATGTAAGAGTTATCTTAAAGTCAATATTGTAGTCCCATAAAGTGCGCCAACTATTCTGAAAAATATGTTTGCTTCACACCAAAGTTAATTATAATAGTGCTGGACAGTTTTTGCTTCTGAAAAATTGTCTGCAGTGTTAGTCTTCACTAAAGTTCCTCTGCCAATTGCCCTTTGCCAAAGCCAATGACACTTTTATTTTCTGATTTATTTTACTTTTTTTTATTTTCTTTTTTACTGCGAAAAACACATTGCAAACTGTTGCATCTTACTGCCAATTTCTTGTAACTCTAATTTCATTATTTTATTAAAAAAAAGGGTAAGTTGTTGAGGTAAATCGTTTTTAAAATCAAATATTATATATTAAAAAGAAGCTGATGCATTAATCTTGCCAGTTTAAAAATGAATGCTGTTCTACATTTATTGATAAATGGGTAGCTTTTTTTTAGGGGTATCGTTGCAATTATCAAATATATAATCGTGTAGTTAGTATTTTTTTTTTTTTTTTTTGAGCGCTTAGAGGGTATTTAAAGCTACGACTTGTTAACACCCACTTTTTGTTCTACTTTTATTATCGTTGCTTCTGCTGCAATTTCAATTTGGTCTTTGTTTTGCTCTCTGTTCTTTGTTTTTTTTTTTTTTTTTTTTCGTTTTGTCATGGTTGATGTTGCTGTTGCGCTTGATGTTGCTGCTGCTCCTCGCGATGTTGCTGCTGTTGTAGCATTTGTTTGACAAGCACCACGTACAACATGCTCGTTTGGCGAGGGTTCGGGGTATATGAGTATGAGTTGGCTACAAAATTAAAAATGATATGGAATCAACAACGGGCAGTCAGCGAGCAGAGGAGCTGGGGAAATTGGCAAGCAAAAGATGCACTCGACCATGTTAACCAAGGGCCGAGAACCCGGGAAACAAGCCAGTGGAAAGGCAAAAAAGTCAACTTTATGACATGTACACACTGAGTTCGGGGCGGGAAATGGAAGTAAACAAATACAAATGGAAACAATTAAGGGGATTGGGGATAACAAAATGGGATTGGGGCTTAGAATGGGATTAAAGTAGGGAAGCAAGCTAAAAAGGATTTAAAGCAACAGGTTAGGAAATCAACTGATTAACCCTTTGAGGGGCACATTTTTCTCTTTGGCGAAATTTCAGTATTAATGGTTGTATATAGGTTTTCGTTGTCGCTGATTACGATTCTGATATCGGAATTGTGAAATTTTGGATATTAATCTACTGATGTCAAAATCGTTATCAGCAACCCCGAAAACCTATGTACAACCATTGATATTTGAATTTCGCCGCGTAACAAATAATGAAATCAAACGGAAAGATTCGTCAAATAACACTATTTTCAACTTATTCAAAAAATTTTTTCATGAAAACTAGCCTGCCGAAAATTCTGAAAAAAACATATGTTTTTGTTCAATGTACATGCTCGTCAGAAAAAAATTTTCATAATTTTTGGACCTGTAGTTTGCACTTTTATTCAAAAACACGACCGTTTTTTTCAAGTTTGAATTTTTATAACTAATTAATTAATAACAATTTCACGAAAATTTTTTTTTCATAACTTTTTATAAGTATTTGAGAGTCTAAATGATAATATATTTTTACTAAAACGAGTGCAGTGCGAAAGAGATTAATTAAAAACGGCAAAGAAACAAGTGGGAAGTATACTTCCCACTGCCCCTCAAAGGGTTAATTGGATATAATTAAAGTTTTAAGTGTGCTAATACATGTTAAAATATACTCTGCATATCTGAATCTGGTGAATCATTCTGTTTTTCACTCCTGGTATATTGTGCATTCCTTAACAAGTATTTTTGCTATCTTTTTGTTCGATTACTTATTCCTTTTTGTGTCATTTTATTATGACGTCAGCGTTTAATTGACAGTTGGTAAGGTTTTTCCATCCTCCAGTTTTTCCTTGCCACCGCGTCTCATTCTTCTATTTTTGGTTCAAACTTTATGGAAATGTCTTGAGCAAACACAGAATAGTAGAGCGAAAGGGGGTATTGCGCACTTTTGAATATATGCAATTGGCAGTTTTATTGCTTTTCGATATGCGGAAAATTTTCTAGCTGACACCGCAATATATTTACGCAAGCGAAGTTATGACTTAAAAAAGTTGGAGTGTCACAATTGTAGCTTTTATTTGAATGAAATTTCATGAACCAGTTTTATTTGTAAAATTGCAACATTTGTTATTTGCACTTCCATTAAACGTCACAGTTCAATAGTTCCATAGTTTTAGAAAGTTTTTGAGTAAATTTCAAAATAACAAAAAAAAGTCCATTGTTGACAGAGAGTTGTTGTTGTTTTGGGATCCTGTTACTATATGTACTTCAACTGAAGTTGCTCAAGCTCCTTCTTCTTTTTGCATCCGTTGCGGCTGAAACAATGGCGCCAACTGATATTGCTCTCTGCAACTGAAGTTGCATTTGTGGCCGACATATCTCATTACAGTTTCCTCTCCTTATTTTCCCTCAAAGGAGCTGCAAACATTGCGACAGCTGCAACATGCAAAAGAGTTGGAAAAAATAAATACTCCTAGGCTAACTGCTTTATATGTATATGATTTTTGCTGGAAATAAATGCTAGACTTTGGCTAATACATACATATATATCCGATCTCTGTCTCTCTTGCAGCTACGCAAACTGGTGGAAAATTGTGGCAAACTTGCGTCGCCAACCCAACTGTCATTGTCTTTGGCATTGGGCAACATTTTAATTGAAAAAGTTTTATCCAGAGAGTGAGTGAGAGATGACTGTGAAATTGGCCAAGCTGTTTGGGGGCGTTGAGGTACTCGACTCGGCCAACAACCAGCAGCATCAGGAGCAAATGCAACACCAGCAACACCAGCAACATCAGCAGCAACAGCAGCAACCGCTGGCTGCAACAACACAGCAACATTTGCAACAGCCACCGCCTCTTCCACCGCCAAATGCGAATATGAAGAGTCTGAAGTATTACGAGCACCTGCAGGCCACCTACGACTGTCACGATCTGATGGATCATGATCATGACCACGATCAGGATCAGGATGACTACGAGGACACCTGCATGCAGCGCAATCATCCGTACAACAATTCACAGCGACCGCTTTTGGGCGACCGACGACCCCAACTCACCGTGATGAGTGTTGGAAAGAAGGGAAAGTCGGGAATAAGCCAGCAAAATCTGCCACTGCCACTGCCACCGCTTCCGCCGCTGAGGAGCTACATTTCACCCTATGTGCAACAGCAGAAGCGCGACAGTGCCAAAGGTTTGCACGGGTTCAACGATTTCGATGCCCTGTCGCAGCAGTACAATCAGCACCTTCAAAGTCCCCACATCGGTTATCCCTATGGAAGTCCTCCCTCGCCCACAGCTCAATCCAGTGATTTCTGCTTTGACCGGCAGACTGGGTTGGTAATGCTGCCCGGAACGACGGGTCAGCTCATCTCGAGCAGCTCGAGCAACTGCAGCAGTTCGCACACGACCTCCACATCCTCGCCCACTCGATATTACCCGGCGGATCATCCGGTGAGCAGCTCGCTATATCCCTCCCGATTCGAGGACGACTTCTGCATGCGTCGACCTCCAGTCGTTCCGGATGGTTCATCGCCGGACTGCCGGATTGCCGGTGAGGGTGGACCCTTCATCTTTGGCATCGCACCGGAGCAACAGGCCACGGATTACGGCAGCAATCCGCTGCCGCCAACGCCCCCGCAGCTGAAACAACAATCTGTGATTAGTAGGAGTCCTCTGGTGAGTTATCATTCCACATATTTCAATTTAATAACAAACTCTTTGAAATACACAACTTTGTAATAGGTATATATTTGACAAAGTTATGACTTCAGGAAGTGTAGTATTAGGTAATATGTCTGCAATCTATTATGATGGTAGATAGTACACATCTTTAACATCTTTAGGTAAATTTACCAACTAGGCTGGTCCGTTAAAAAACTAACTAGAAAGATATTCTCTGTTGATATTCGTGAATATTTTCCCAGAGAAAAGTGGGTTGGATGGTTTGGGAAGTGTTACGAGAAGTTCACAGCATGCAACTGCTGGAAATGCGGCAGAAACTTTTACAATCGATTGGTGTTCTTCCCCTCCTTTCATTTTTTCTTTTGTTGCACTCTGTTTTGGTAGTTTAAGAATTTACCGCTGCTGCTGCTTTTCGCGTGGGAGTTGTCTTTGTGTGGATGTTGCTGTTGCTGTTGCTCTTGTTGCAGCAGCACCACAAGTTGCCGCTTCCGTTCGAGTTGCAAACAGAGCTGCTTTCAACGTTTCGCATTGGGACGTCTGTCTATTTTGATAATGGCACAAGATGCTCGTCGTCGTTCACCTGGCAGACCGAACCAAATGGTCAGTGGAGGGTTAAGATGCAGGGGGTTGGGTAAGAGGGTTAAGAACAGCCGGAAAGAATAAAATCCTCTCAGTGCAGCAGCACCCACACAAAGACAAAACCCAACGTCAATGTCTGAGGGAACGTCTGCTTGAGCTTTTCATTTAAACAGCCAGCTGGAGGAAATTCAGGAACTGCCCTTCCCTCACTTTACCGTTTTCTACCATTTTTCCCGGCACTTCCATCCGCCCATTAAAGCCAAGCAAATTAAAATGTTGCACAAATAAAATGTAAGAACCTTTTCACGTCGCTCGCCATTTTCCCATGCTGTCAGCAGGACGAACGGATTCCTTTGCTGCAACGGGCGACTGGATTAAAGCACATTTCGTGAATTAATAATGAAATTAATTCATGAATAGCAAGTGTGAGCGAGAGCAAGGAAAAGAGCGGCCAAAAATCGCTCAATTAAAGCATGAAATGGGCTCTTAAAAGAAATGAGGAAAAACTATAAGATAAGGAGGTGGCATAAAAAGCTACGAAGTAAAAGAACAACATGGTAACTTAAATGGGAATATATTTAAATAATATCTTAATGTAATTATGCAGCAAAATAAGAAAAACAATATCATGCTTAAGGTAAAACCCCTTAAATAAATTAAATATTGACAAAGGAAACCAGCTGGAAAATCGCCTCGCCTGCAAGGAGACAAAATTTCTTTGGCCAAATGTGCCTGGGCCCAGTTAAAAAAGCAAATTACACTAATGAAATGTTTTAACCCTGATGTGAATGCACTTCACACCACTCCAAACTTCCAGCCGCCCACTTTTGCCCCGCTTTTCCACCCATCGAGAACCGCAAAAGTCGACAAATGTGGCAAAGAAGGAACGGGGAAGGGAAAGGGGGGAAAGCGAACCACAAAAGTAGAAACTGAAATTAAGGAAAAAGAAAATTTCGTAATTACACTTAAGTTGGTTAATTGTCGGACAGATATTCCGCTTCTTCTGTTGCAACTTTTCCGCTTTTCCGCAGTTTGCGAAAATGATTTTTATGGGTATACTAATTATACAAATTTAATTGGATTTGTTTTACTTTAAATTGGTTCGGTTTAAAATGTAATGAATATTATTTTCGGCAATCAAAGTACTTAAAGTATTTAGCTATGTGGATATTAAACAATGATTTCTCAGGGGTATTTACAACTTCGAATTACTGATTATGCATTTAGTTTAGCTTAAGATCTGTTTTAACGTTTAGAAGCAATAGAAACTCAACCTCGACACTTTGGCAAACTTTACTAGGATCTGTGTGAGTTAGAGGGAAACAGAACGAGCAAAAGAAATGGGCGGAGAAAGGGGGGCCTTGGATTCGTAGAGAAAGCTGAGTGCATGTTAGATACAGATACATGCAATCTATGGGTTAATTACGCTACTTTCCCAGATTGCCAGAATGCACAAATAAGCATTGCGATTAGCATAAAATATACAAATGGAGAGAGGAGGCAAAGCTAGGCAGTTGGCCAAACCAAATAGTCGAAAACAAACCAAATTGGTGTTTTCATTTTCTGTTCAATTGCTAAATAGAATATACATATATATATATTATGTCTGATTTCGGTACAACTTCAAAAAACAACAAAACCATACAAATAAATACAACAATATGTTTGCATACGATTCGGATTTAGCTATATATGTATATATATCAAGTATTAACGTTAGCAATGTATTGATAGTAGCGATTGTGCTCTTACTAAGGACACTATTGAGGTTTTTCGGTCAGCTCCACTTTATATACTGAGTGTTCTATAAACGGCACACAAGGTTGCGGTCTAAAAACGACACAATGCATAAAAAAAAAACATCGGCAACATCGAGCTACATTTGTTGCTGTTCTAAAGCAACAAATCAAATTGAATTGCGAAAAATCGTCTTCGATTACACGGCCACAGAACCATACCATATATGCATATATATAAATCGTAAAAAAAATCACAATGTTTTTGGAAAGGGGAGTGGAGCATTGTGAATCGTTTTGTTTTGGCATTGCAAGCTCAATGGGCATTTGATAAGTAGCGCAATATCGATTACACTGCTCAACAAAAGGTGTGTGAATCAGTACACTGTGACTCACGATGAACTAGAAATTATTTAGCAACAACTTCATTTATTAAACTCTTATCTAAAACAATCGTAATGGTGATTCTTATATATTTGTTACGTTTTTATGCAGTTCAGTGTCTTCTGTTGCTCGATTTACCTGTTTTGCTCAGCTTGTTACCATTACGTTTACTGTTCTGATTGTTGTTACTTATGGTCTGTCTTACTTATGGTCTTTTTCTTCTTCGTATTCTTTGTTTTGGTATAACATTGCATTGAAAATTATGCCACTTAAGATCAATTTACCTTTCAGCTTTAAAACAAAAGCAAAGCAAAGCACTGGCTGAAAACAAAATCCAAGTAAAAATTGTTGTCTGCCGCAGCTGCAAATGTTGTCGGCTGTTGCAACTCGGATAATTGAAATCACTCTTGATAATGCACTGAGCAAAAAATGCGGGTTAAGCATATAGAATTACGTACATACATATATGTATGAAATGTAGGCAAATTTTTGAACTGACCCCGATTTCGAAATTCGTTTTAGGTTATTAAAGTATTTTTCTTTGCATTTAAATGGAAGTATGTAATTGATTTGTTCAGCTAATCAGCTTTAAAATAATGATTCATGCATATAATATATCTAGTATCTTTTGGTAATTAATAATAAACACACAGATGTATATTTTGTATATAAACTGCACTGCTTCTAGTAAGTCTCTCATGTTTTGCGACTTATTTGTTTTGCGTGGAGTGGTTGTTACCGCCATAGTTGTTGCCACATAGTTAAGTTGTTTTGGCCCGCGTCGTCGCACTGTCTGACAAAGTTAAAGCTCCAAATCGGCGGTGCACATGGGGGTGTTTGGCTGCGTTTGGCGGGGAAGGTGGTGTCGGTGGGGTTTAGTGGTAAATTGCAACCTGGCGCGACCAAATGGCTGGCCAAAAGCCGAGGTGCTCTGACCAACCGAGCAGGTTTCAGCGACCATGAGACAACACACACAAATGCAAACACAAACACTAACACACTCGGACACATTTGGACACCACTTAAGGCAGCATCTGGACCACGAGCAAAAGCACCACCCACCACTCCCCCCTCATCCTTTCCCATCCACCGCACGCCTGTTGCATTATTTGATTAAAAAGTTTGGCCCAAACCCCGCTCTTTTCCCCAACAACAACGTCGAGTTTACTTTTAGTTTTATGGCCCGCCTCCTCCTCTCTTCCCTTCTCCTTCGAAAGTTGGAGGTGTCTCGGAACTAGAGTTTCCGGATTGATCCGATTTCGTTGGCTCCGTTCGGACAATCTTTATGCCGTGTTTTGTCCCCAGGACTGGGTTTAATTAACTTGATGGGCTGGCATAAATGCAGATGCACATTTCTATTCCGCTTACCTCCCCTTCCCTTCCCTTCCCTTTACTCCGCTGAGCAGATCGGGGTGTATATACATACCATATGTGTGTACATGTGTATCCACCTTTCGGGCGGTGCGGCGAGCCATCTGCCACACGAGTGGGTTGGTTGGCTGTGGCATTCAGTTGCCGGTTAAGTGCGAAATTGGGGTCGTCATCTTCAGAGTTGCACAGCGAAAGAGACGGTTTTATATGTATAAAATAGACAGTGGCGATAGACCTTATAGAACTTTGATCAATTAAATATAGAGGTATTGCAAAAAACTGCTATGTCTTATTAAAAATAGGTTCTTAATTATTGAACAATGCATTTTATAAAAATTATAATCGCATAATAAGTCGGTTAAAATCCAAACGAATTTGAATTACAAGAAGCTGTAGAAATGCTTTTAAGCACTTGCCAATTATCGTTGCCTAATTAGTTTTTATTCAATCATAGCCTTTGTATTTGAGTCTGGTCTAGCACTTAATCCCATTTTAATCCCAGCTGCTAGTTTTGCGACCACGGGTGCACTTTTCAACTGGGCGAGAGCGAGATGGCGATAGCCCCACTACGTGGCTGTCATCGCAGTCGTTGCATGTGTAATTTGCTGAATTTTTAATTATGACACAGAGCGCAGCACGAAACAGGCAGACAGACAGAGATACGGATCCAAATCCGAAAGGTAGAAACACCCGGCGAAAGGGAAGGGGCAGGGGAAGGGGGAAAAGGGGAAGGGGCGTGGTAAGGGAACTTGTGTGTTTGTGGATTGCAGGTTAATCTGCCGTGTTGCATGTTGCATTTGCCAGTTGGCAACTTATCTAACTGTCAAGCGGGTCTCCCAAAGTCGCTTTAAGCCCCGTGTCGTTGCTGCTGCTCCCAGATGCCAAATCAATGTGCCACGCCAGTTGCACGAAAGGTATCGCATG